AGTCGGAGAGGCAAAAAATGTTGACCTTATGCCCCTCATTAGTGCTCGAATGCAAAAACGTGGAGAGATGACAGATTCCATGACACTCCGGCTGCTGTAGGAGAGGCAAAATTCAGGATGGCGGTTCACCGCGTACCACGGCATCTCGAAATGGCTACTGTCTTGCCGGGTGCTTCTATTGGGAAAACCACTGAGTCGATAATTTCTTATTTTGAGATAAAACGAAAAATAATTGGCCAGCGAATGCCGGTGCGAAGATGCGTTTTATGCATAGTTCCTGGAAGGTTTTTGTTGCTAATGGCATCGGTTTTTCCGTCAAATGCTTATGGCTAAGCGAACTGAAACTGGTCGTCAAAGTTGTCAGGAAACAATCCCTTAAAGTTTTAGCTTTCCAGGTTCCCGAGTTAGCAACTTATCCGCCAAAAACATTCACTTGCCCGTACGTAAGAATCACGCGTAACTGGGAGTAGGATTTGAAGTTACTAAGTTATATATGGGCCGGGAAAATCGCCATAAAGCTCCAGTTTTCTAAATTTCCAGTTACCCAAGCTAGCAATTTATCCACAAAAAACTTTCACGGGCAAGTACGTGGGAACCAGGCATGCTTGGGAATTGAATTCAAAACCGTTAAATTCTACGTGGGCGACGAACATCCGTTAAAATTTCAGCTTTCTAGCTTCCTGACTTCCGAGCTAGCAGCTTGCCTGTCAAAAACTTTGGCGAGCCCGTACATGGGTATCACGCGGGTAAGAAAGCCCATTTTGGGGATGAGAGCCCGTGCATGAATGTAGATTAAGCCCCCCAAGTTTCAGCCTTGTGGCTTTTGTGGATTTCGAGATGAAAAATCGGATGTCGGCGAGACGACATCCTTTTGCAAACCGAAAGCCTGTCCATTACACTAGGGTAGTCTATTCGGACAGCACTATCGCCTCAAGCAAAACCCAAAATTATCAATTAAAAACGCTTGGTGCTATTTGAGCACAGGAATCAAAAAGTCATAACCCTTATTAAACGATTGTTTTTTCATAGGTTTCAATTATTAACACTTCCACTGCACCTCACCATTAATTAATATCTACCTTCGTATGGCAGGAAGTTGAAATCTTTAATTTGTACTTGGTTGGGAATATACCCTTAGAATTTCTGCCTTTCAACTCTTCTGGTTGCCGAGTTAGCAGTTTTCCGACAAAACTTTCACTTTCCCCGCACATACAGATACATGCACACAAAGACAACCCCTCGTCAATATGCGTTTTCTGCATTGCACAGACGCAAAAATCACAAAAAAATCGAAGATCAGGATCGCCAGCGGACTGACCACCACGCAGTGCAGCACTGGTCAAAGCAACTGGAAAAGTTGTCAACTGCATATGTGGGGCACAAAACTACAAAATACAGTTGCGACGCTGCAAGGATTCATTTCGGAGCTTTGGCTCAACATCGACCTATACACAAGGGAAAGGGGAGAAGGGCAGCTTCACGCCTAAAGATGGTTCTTTGCACATTATTGCTTGAAAATGCATAACTGTATGCAGCACAACTGCTACTTTGGACCAAGCAAATGGTATCCAAATTTTTCAAGGTCTGTTCGTAAAATTTCAGCTTCCTAGCTTGTCCAATCACGAGAAATGAGAGCAGGAGAACAAATACAGGCACGAAGTCCCGGCATAATGCATTTTTTTTGTCTTAATTTGAATTGCAAAAAAGCGTGGAAGCATCGAAATGGCTTGAAATCAGTGATGCCTACTTCTGAGAGAGAACGGTCGTCGGGAAGTCGCATAGAAATAGCAGAGTGCTCCGATGACGCTAGTGGTGAGGAATGCGTTACTTATGCTCGACATGTTGCTCCAGCTGGGCCATGGCCAGCGCCATTTCCACGGGATAATCGGAAAATGTCGCATCGCGCGACACCTATAGCATTAATTTTGCGACTAGAAATATGATCAGAAGCAGTGCAATCGCCTGAAAACGAATCTTCTCGGGATGCGTTTTTTGCTGCTGCCATCTGTCCCAGATATTTTAGGAAGCTTTTCAGGTCAGCCTGGACAATTACTGGGCAATATTCCCTTCCCCTTCTACATTCCTTCCCCTGTTAGTTTAGCTGTAGAAGCAGTAGTGGTGCAGCATGAACGATTGGATAACCAGCAGCAAGCTGTCCATCAGGGGATGCAGCTTCGGTCAGGGCTACAGGGCTACAGTGC